TATATTTATTTTATATTTAATTTAATTTAATTAATATATATAATAAAATAATTTAATTTAATTTAATTAATATAGTTATTTAATATTTATATTAATATTTAATATTAATATTTTAAGTTTGGAATTCTTCACCAAATTCAGCAGCAGAGAAATTGGATGGACAATTTCTCTGAGCTTTTCCAGGGAAAAAAGACTTTCTCTACCAATTTCTCAAGGGCAGGGCTTCCCTTAGTAATGACAATTGAATTACCATCAAAAACCCAATACAAGGAGTTCTCTCATTATATCATTCCTTGGGATTTAACAGAAGTATAGAAGGCTGCTGGAGATGTTATAGTACAGTGAAAGACAAGGCATTTATATGTACAACTACATCAAGAGAAATAATTGTTCCTCTTTATTCTTTATTAGTCAGACTACTTTCAGAACAGTGTGACCAGTTCTGGGCACACAGTTTAGTAAAGACATTGACAAAGTAGAGCATGTCAAGAGGAGAGCAGTCAAGATGATAAGGGAACTGGAAGGAAAACCATATGAAGAATGGTGGGAGGCACTAGATATGTTTAGTTTGGAGAACAAAAGTTTGCAGAAACTTGAACTGCCTTCATAAGAATATAAGCAGTGCCCTACTGGACAAGACCCCTTGTCCATCTAGTCCAGCAGTCTGTTCTCACAGTGGCCAACAATTGCACAAGTCCACTAGTTTCTCAGCAGATGGCCTTCAGATGCAGTCACATGTGGGTACTATGGGCAGGTGAGAGGGCGGGCACAGGGGTGGGTGTTATGGGTGGGCACAAGTGCAGATGGATGGGCACTACAGAGTGCAGGGAGGCAAGCACTATGGAATATGTGATCCCTCTGCTGTCCGGGGACTCCTCAGAAGAAAAAGCAGCAGGAGTGGGAGCAACTTGCGACTTCCTGCTGGCTTCTCCATTGACTTTGCTTGTGGGAAGCTGGCAGCGAAGATGCAAATGGAGATCACGTGACTGTGGGATGCTGCAACGTTGTAATTGCGAGCTGGTTGCCAAGTGCCCGAATCACAATCACATGACCGTGAGGACACTGTGACGACCACAACTTTGAGGACCAGTCACAAGTCCCCCTCATTCAGTGCCATTGTAACTTTGAACGATCATTGAACAAATGGACATAACTTGAGGACTACCTGTATCTGAAGGGCCATCATGTAAAAGATGCACAGACTTGTTTAGAGATGTTCAGAAAATAGGACAGGAAACAATGATTTATTTACAAGAAAGTACATTTTAGTTGGACATCAGGAAAAATGTCTGAATGATAAGAACTGTTCAACAATGGAACAGACCTGCCTGAGGAGGTGGTGGATTTTCCTTTGCTAGATGTGTTTAAAAAGAATCTGGATGGCCATCTTGAAAACAAATTTTCCATACAACTAAAATAGGGGGGGGAATGCAGATTTCTGTGCCAGAAGCTAATTGTTTACAAGGGTTTACAATGCTAACTGAATTTTTAAGAATCTATATTCCTATACAGTTATGCATTTAAATTAAAAATGTTTACTGTACATTTAATTGGAAATTAGTTGGCAACTATTCCTGTTGTGAGGATGACATTCAAGCATCTCCATGAAGCTCAGTCCAGATGTTTGGAGGTCTCAGATCACCATTAATTCCTTTCTCCCTACAAAAACAAAAAAAGGTACTGTGAAATATTTCATTTGCTCATTCACACAATTAAGTACAGACTAGACCCAAGTAGCAACATAGTTGGATAGAAAGATGCCCACAGGTTATGGTCAAAAAAGTCAAGATGGTGGCAATCAAAGCTTCACCATCTTGATTCTTTTGACCATATCCTGTGGACACCCTTGTTGTGATATTTGTTTTGAATTAAATACACAGTTCTGTCAGCCCAAGCACTCTTCTCATGCCTGCCCAGGTGTCTCTGCTGCCAATGGGGAGTCCCACCCCTATGCAAAGAGCAGCTTTGGGAGAAAAGGATATTGGCCTCACTCTGAATCTCTTTAGACCCCTCCCCTCCCCTCCCTTCCATCTTTTGCCGGACAATTGTTAACTTCCATTTCAAAAATCAGGACTGACAGAAAGTTCATTAAACACATTCTTGTGAGTATGGCTGGCTTTATACAATGCACTGAACTAGGTATGGACAGCTTTTTGTGAGTGAGAGCTGTGATTTTAACATTTAAGATATTTTTTGATCTCTGAGGACTACAAAGGGCATGGTTCTTAATACAGTGACATCATTGGACTGAGAGACTTTTTGTCCCAATATGGAGTGGGGGTGGAGAGTTTGGGAGTTTTCAGTAGTGAAGTAGAAGCCAGAGGTTTAAGGCACTCTGTTTGCCCCTTGATTTTGCTCTCCTGCAAAAACAGGGAACATTGTGTATTTGAAATTACCTATGGTTGGTTAGTGCCCAATTTTAGCAATGTGATCTGGTAGCCCTTAAATGTTTGCAGGTGATGCTTCCACAAACTTCAGGTCATAGGCTGCCCATTCCTGGTCCAAGAAGGTTTTGGTTCATGTGTACTCCTGAGTGTGTAAATCATGGCTTACAGTTTAGGATGAGCCATTTGTGGGTTATTCAAACCTAGCAATGACAAGCATATATGTGTGGGTGGAAAGTAGAAGATCAGACAGGGAGAAACGCTAAAGGAACTTTCCCCACATGTATTAGGTATGTCCTTTTACTCACAAATAACAGCACCTAGCTAACTGGCTGAGTTCAAAAAACTAACCAGGTTGGGATGGGTTGATGCTTGGGTGGGAGACCACCAGAGCTTTAGGTTAGACCAGGAAGTTGTTAAAGTTTCCTGGACAGTATTGTCTGTCACGGTGGAGGTGGGGGGGTCAAAAAAGACAAAACAGTGGTCATGGCAATGCACCCCTCTATCAATGTGCATTGTCAACGTCAACACAAGTACAAAAAGGGTGAGGCTTCCTTTGTGCTGCCAAAACTGCCATCTTGCCTTTTTTGACCCTCCCTGAGGATGCTGATCTTGGATATGGGCAATGGCAAAGTACTGGTATCTTGTTGCCAAGAAAACTACCTGGATGTGTGCAGGAAGCCATCGGGAGTTGATCATGACTTGAAGAAGACAGACTTTTTGGAAAAAAATATATTAAAACATTTATTTTCACTTATTCTCACATTTATACCCCTTCTTCCTTGGGAAGCTAAAGGCACTGGGAAAGAATCTTATTAAATCCTGACCATTATATCCTGATAACAACGTTGAGAGGTAGAGACTTTCCAAATCACCCAATGAGATAGATATATTCCCTTTTTCTCTCTCTTTTGCTTGCTAAGGAATCTATCATGGTTTTACTAAATGATATTTTTAATGCACGGTAAACCATTCTCTTTCCATGGACCCATTTACCCCTCAAAACAAGACTGATGTTTGTTTTAACAAGTGTCCTTTTCTTCTTCTTTTTAGTTTAAAGAAGCTTCCGGGGATGAGGTCTGAAAAGCTCCTGTGATATTGCTGTCTCTGTATCTGTTTACAACAGTCCTTCTCTTCCCCACCCCCCTCCAATAATTAAATGCAAGCAAGCTGGACCATCACAATTACTGGAGGAAGTAGCAGTCCTTCAGGGAAGAGGAAAAAGAAAAGGTGAACCAAGGTAGCTGGCCATATCTGGCTGAGAGCCTCTGGCTCAATCCTTCCCAACTGTGGCAACTTCCAGGTGGGTGAACTTCAACTCCCAGAATTCTCAATGGCTGTGCTGGCTATGGAATTCTGGGAGTTGAAGTCCACCAACTTGGAAATTGCCAAGGTTGGGAGACACTGCTCTGGATCTTCCTTTTCCTGTTCAGATTGTGCCAAGGAAGATGCTGAATCAGAATCAGAATTGGGCCACTGAGGCCTTCAAGTCCCACCTCCTATTCTGTGCAGAAATCCAAATTCAAACTGTAGGAGGAGAGCTGCATTAGTCTATGGTAGCCAAAAATCAGAAGGAATCTGGTGGCATCTAACCGATTTTATTAAAAGGAAGCTGATTCTTTCTGATTTTTGAAATCCAAATTCAGGTATCCTTTAAACACATCCAGGAAAAAGAAATCCACCCCTTTGGGTAATTGGTTCCACTGTCGAACTACTCTTCTCTAAAGATTTTTTCCCCCAACATTCAATCAGAATCTGCTTTCCTGTAACTTAAATCCATGATCCTCTATCCTCTATCCCGGAATGATGGAGAACAGGTCTTGACCTTTCACGTAACATCATTTCAGGTATTTGAACACCACCATCCAATTTCTTCTCACTGCTCTTGGCTCAAGATTCAGGTCTTTCCATCTCTCTTCTCCTGACTTAGTTCCCAGTCCCTCTGATTATCTTTGGTGCCTTTCTTCAAACTTCTTCCAGTTTCTCTGAATCTTTCTTAAAGTATGGTGTCCAGAACTGAACCCAATGCTTGAGAAGGGATCTGTCCAGTGCAAAAGGAAGTGGAATGAGTACATCTGGAGACTGTAAACTATTTGATATAGCCACAAACTTAAAAAACGCAGTTATATTACACTATTCTTTCTTATTCACTTTGTGATTGACTAGTGTTCCAAAAGGGATCCTCACTGGTGGATTGACACAAATCCATGTAGCTTCACCCTGCTTTTATTCTGCAGCTTCTGTTAAGGAGCTAGGCATTTTGGTCACATATTGGGACCAAGCAAGTTTCTAAGTGTCTTAAATATTACTGCTATCCATTTGAGTGTTCAGTTTGATCCAGCAGTCCAGAAAATGTTGACATTGAGCAATCACTGGAGTTCCAACATGATGCTCATGGGCAATAGTTGGCACAAATTAAGCTCTCTGCTCAGTCTTTTAGATTCCATTTCATATTTTAAATACTTAAAGCAGGAAATAAATAGCTGGAAAGCAAAACATTTACATCCAACATCATCTTTATTTCCACAGATATTTTTGGGACCCATCCGTTTTCTTCAAAAATAAAAATAGTTGGTGTCTACACCTTAATGTTTTGTTTGGAAAGGCATCCACTTGCCCCACCCCATCCCAAACAAGACAAATGGGAGCTCTAGATTGATAGTCTAGAAAAAGAATCTCACAATTTTTTAAAAGTCAGGACTCCTTCAACTTCCCAGTCTATCATTCAGTCCTAGGAGTTCCTGATGTTCTCCCATTCAGTGGCTAACACAACCTGGTTCTGCTTAGCTGTTCTGAGAGCAGCCAGGATCGACTAGCAGCTACCACCTGTTGTACTGCTTTCCGGTATGTGGCCTCACCCACTTGTAGACTTTTTGTCAGTGTTCCCACAATATGGTTTCATACCAGTCCAGCTAGGACTTGCAGTGTTTATAAATACAGGGGAATTCCTAAATGTTTCCACTAACACTCCACCTATAGTACACGCTAAGAGAAGCATGTAGAAGCCCAATTTTCACAGATATAACCCTAGCTAAACTGATGGTTTAATTTTAAATAGCACGTAAAAAAGAGGAACTCTGGGGGTACACAGAGAGGCACTTTATACTTAGAATAATCTAAGACGGAGCCATTCCCATGTTGGTACTTGTAATGGTATGTGGGAATGACCTTGGGAGATGCTGCCTAGGGAGTGGTCAGATAAGAGACGGCATAGCCTGCAGCTGCATAGCGGGTGGAGCAAGAAGCTCAGGAGGGACCCTCCTTAGTTTTTCAGGCTGTAAAGAAGATGGTGGAAGAACTATACTTTCAGACTTGCAAGATTCTGTTAATGTAGCTTTACATAAAGTAGAATTAATTTATCTGGTTATGATTCCTGTCTGGTCTGCCTGGTAAGGCTGACTGTGCATTTTACTTGATAAGCTATCTTGGGAAGACTGCAGTATTGAAAGATATTTAAGAAATGCATTAAATACTTTTTGTTTTAAAAAAAACCTTTCTCTATATTTACATGAATAGCCCTGTTTCTCTTCTGTGCCTAGCTTTAGATCCTATCTGGGCTGTGAAGCTAAGAAAGCATAGGTCTGATTCATATTTGGATGGGAGATTTCTAGGAAATACCAGGGTTGTAGGCTAGACTGGGAACTTAAAAAAAATTCCAGAAGACAATGATGAACTATTTCCATACTGTTGTGGACAAAACTGCATGGACATGGACTTGAAATCACCAGGAGTCAAGTGCCAGTAGAAGGAGAGTTTGTCTTTATTCATTCCTTCATTCCTTATTTTTTATGTAATTGGTAGAAAACCCATGTTTTTGGAAGACAGCTGTGAATGGGAGTTCTAGAATTCATACCCTCAACATGTCTAGATGGCACCAGGTTCAGAACAACTGGATTATTTTTACTTCATTTATTTACACTCCCAGGCTAATAAACTGGATTTATCCACAATGGCTGTGTTCATATAACTCACTAACTCATATTTAACTCAGCCATAGTTTACTGCATTAATTCAGTTGCCTCAATCTGCATAACACACTGAAGCAACCACAAACCAACCACGAGTTGGATTCACACAACACAATTGGCCACAAATTTGCCAATCATATTTTAGCCTAGCACATTGGGAGAATCTAACCATTTTCTCTTCTTTGAACCACCAGAATTCATAATCCTTCTCTTCCCCATTCTATATTTCTGTGTGTATGTGTCTCATGAAGTTTTGCTAACATACAAATATTCATACATAATACATACACACAAACACACACACACA